TGATGACCTCGAGGTCACGTGACCTGAGGTCAACCTTTGACCTTGACCTTTCGAGGTCAACATATATATCATTCGATGCGGATTGACGAGAGGATCACGATGATGCCCTTAGTTTGTTCCTATCTTGACTAATTCGAAAGTTATTCGAGAAAAACTCTCTCCATATCTAGTGCCGCCATTTTGACTTTTTCGACCCCTGTGACGTCATCTTTGACCTGACCTGAAAATGACCTTTGTAAAAATTGTAGATCTTGGCCGTGCGTATCCGATGCCGTTTACCGCTTGTCGCTATCTTGCTTCGTTCTCGAGATCTCAGGGGGGGGGGGCCGAATCGGCCCCCCCCCCCGCCAGTTTCTTGTCCCGGCGGAGCCCGCCAGGAATAGGGTTAAGACTAACTTTTCTTTTCTTTTTATCTTATTTCATGCATTGTAAATTGCGTAATTGTTTTATTTTTAGTAGTGAAAGACTGCGGAACGAATTATTTTCCTCAAGCAGAGTTAGTGGGAGTTATTGAGGGACAAAATGATTGGGGTTGCTAACTGGAACATTTGGGGGTGCCCGGAAAACCATTGGGGGTGCTCATTTGAGCATTGGGGGTGCTGCAGCACCCCCAAAAGTATACAAATCGACACCCAGCTGCTCCGCAAAGTGATACACACAAGACCCAGGACGAAAACAAAACGGACTCTTCAGCAGCGCTGCGAATGGAAAATTGGCCGATAAGTGTTCGGAATGCCGGAGCACCATGATAGTGCGGAAATCCAATAAGGAATATCCGATCCATTGAATAATTATCTTCGGACAGTCTACATAGCATAAGTAATTTTTACGTTATGTCTGATTCCCATGTGTCCAAAATTCGGGTTCATGAGACCAGAAGCTTTAAAATCACTTCTTTCAAATAAATATTCCAAAAAATGAACAATGATTCGACACCACGCCCAAAAGCCGATCATGTCATTGATTAATGTGGATGTATTTTCTGCGCCCCTGGGAAGCTCGCTGGAGTGCCCAGACATCCACAGGAGCCGGGTAGGTATTATGCAGCACTGCCGAGACCTCAGTCCCGGGGAGTCAGCACCAGACCATGGGGCCAGTCGCCAGATCAATACAAGGTTCGACGGCGCTACCCGTAGATGTGCTATTTTGGCAGCAGGCATACTCGCAACGTTATCGGTCGATAATGACTCATCATATAGCAGCAACCACAACTATATAACAGCTTATGCCAGTCTTGGAGACGCGCACTGATAAAATAACACACATTACCATAATAATCGGAAAAATCAGTGTCATATAGGCATAATTATTCATATCAGTCATATCAGTTAAAAAATCAGTCATAACCAGTTAAAAACTTAAAATAGTTGTTGTCGTTATCGTTAAAAGGTACAATAGTGGAATGTGCAATGCGTCTTCACTTTCTCAATGTCCCACAATAGGTACACAACTACGCGCAGATTGCAGCTAATTTCTTACTGAGCCTCATCGATCGACGTTTGGTTTTGTTGGCTCTAACGACGATCACGGCAAGACAACTTCCTACACACCATCCGGTAGCTTTCTGCACATGCAATGCCTGCATTACATTCCCTGCAGTGCATTACATGGGAACTTTCTGCTCTTGCATAAGCCGACCGCGATAGGCTTTGGCCGTAATCGACTGAATGCAGTCGAGACACTTATGGAACTCCGCAATATAGTTGGGTAACTCATCATGCATTTTTAGCAGTTCTTCGCACCATGGCGAGTTTGATTTCAATGGCATCGGATTGAACATAAAACTACATTCGTCAATCGTCAGCCAGGTGACTTCAGAGTTCAAAGCGTTGCAGGCACTGCACTACATTATTATTGGAACGAACACGTAAATGGTTCAACTTTACTATGAAATAGTGTCTACATTGCAATCCCCCTACCACTCCATTACGCCATGAACACAGCACGGGCTTTTGGATCCGGAACACTTTTACCCATTGTATACTTGGACAGGAAACTCGGTTCGTACAAGTCACTGTAACAAGCGCTTGTATAAGAAGGGAGTGATTTCTGGCATAGGGTCATGTCCCTCAATCAGTTCATTCATTCGTAGTTCAGCCCCTTTCTACCACATTATCACCTATCACAGCTATAATGTGATAAAAAGTTGCAAACTTATCAAACTCATTACCCAATTTCCACTATCCCTGAAAAACTCGGCCCTTTGTAATTCCCCTTCCGTCATAAAACTCATAACAAAGGCTTGCCCAACACGGTTTGCGTGTCAGTCGCACAATTGCGTGACGTCAGAGCAGGAAGTTTGTCGGCTGTTCGCGTCTGCGCAGAACCACCGGAGCGTGAGCCGGGGGCGGCCTCTGGAACCGAGGAGAAACTCGCTGTTTTGTTTCACGGAGCCGACCAAGCCTGCCAGTGGCGACAGTAGGCCTATCGCGCTGCAGTCGGTCGTCTCAGCACTCGGTCGAGACCAGATAGTTGACAAGGACGTGCGATAATGCTGTGTCAACGTCTCCCGCTTACACTGAGAGCTCATGACGACACGGCCACTGACCAAATCCCACAGGACGGTGATGGAGCAAGATACCCGGATCATCTCCCCAGCTCGGCAGACGCCCTCTTAGAATTAAGCGCTAAATGCTGCTATAACAAAACTTGCTAAACATCTATGACTAAAGCGGCTTGCCTTGCCTTCGATCACCCCACTATGTGGGCAGCAGAACGTTCAGTCCTCCTTACGAACGGCAGCCACGACCCACTCTCCACCCAATCACGTCTCTCGGCCGCCGCGGGGGTCTATTACCACCAGGAACACAGGCGGCACGCAACACACACACCCCACAAAAACCTTCCAATCTCACTGCCGCAACCGACCGTCGACAGCCGAGCCGTGCAGCATTACCTTCTCCGCAACCACTGCCACCGCCACGGCCGCCCACCGAACGCACACAAAGCCATTCCGTTACACGACCTCGCCGAGAGCGGAGTGCCAGACAACGGCGCGCGACACACCGATGACGAATCGGCCCCGCCCGGCCAGACTCATGCGTCCAATTACGCTGTATTCGCCCGGAGGCTCAACGCCAGAGAGAATCTCGTCAGGAGATGCGTCAGGGCGATGATTATGGTTATTAAGTGGGTCGCGACGATAGTCCCAAATCACCACTCTCAGCGCATAGTGAGCGCGACACAGACCGCTGCTTTCATCGACTGCAAAAACGGCGCTAATGAGCGCAAAACCCGGCACAAAACATCTCCCCAAGCGCAACGTAACGTAACGTCGACATTAGCCGGGTTGCGGGTCACTTTCACTGCGGCAGCGGCAGGCTGCACCTGTCACGGGCCACGGCTCGCCGAACAGCGTGACACAGCTGCAAACGGCAGGGGAGTCACGGCTGTGACAATCGTCGGGAGGCACGGCTGTGACGCTCGCCAGCGCTGCAGCAGTAGCGGTCTGGCGGCCCTGGTGGGCATCGCTCTGCTGCAGCCCCGACATACGGCGCAGGTAGACAGAGACAGTGCGTCTCACCAATGCATGTCAGCGAACTCTCTGGACGGCGAGGCGATATCCAGCGAGTGAAACGCATGCTGGATGATGGACACAATTAACTCTTCCACACAGCTCCCTCCAGCAGCAATCTAGCTTGGCCACTCTGCAGAGGGCCAGCAGCCACGCTGCCACCCACCGCGCCGATCCGATCCAGCGACCTCGGGTGACCTTGGCAGCTCGTGACTGGTCCCGTGTCCGACATTTTCCCGTGGTTCGGGCGTGGCAGCAGTCAGCTGACTGACCAACGAGCACCAGCTGACCGCGGACCAAACAGACGGCAGCTGGCGGACGGCAGAGACGTGCGCGCGACCAGGAACAACAACCGCGTCCGGCGTCCACCGAGATCCATGAACGCTCGCCGGGGTCAATGAAGACAGATCACGCACTGCCCAGCGAAAGGGGCGGGCAGGCGAGCCGTAGTGGACACGCCCATCCATCAGGGGCCGTCTCCGTTGCGTGCCTCTCTGCATCTCCGTGCGAGCCGTAGAGCCGAGGACCCCGGCGCCGTCAGTGAGCCGTGGTGCCGCTGGCTCCGCCGGACTCCAGCGCCGCCCCCGGCCGTCCGTTATCGCTCGTTTCCGGCCCGCAGGCGCCGCGCCAGGCCGTGGACAACGGCAGGAGGCGGCGACTGTGCGCGTGCGGCCACCGGGCTGGCGACGACGGAGCGACGAAGGGAGAGTCGTCAGATTCGGGGACGGGAAGCGACCAAGGCCGGAGCCGGATCCCAATCCTACTTCACAGAGTGGTGGGTGGGAATCAGAAAATGTGAGAATAAACCTGGGAACGGATGTGGGAATGGCCGGGGGGATGGACTGCTCAACATTCACCGGTGACCAGCCGCCAGTCACTGCCGGCGGCACTCAGAGGGACCCTCCTCAAGCCACGCCCACTGGATGGTCGGGCAGCGAGGGTCGCGATCCAGACACCACCTGCGCCGCACTGAGCCCGCGTCTGGGGACCGAGGAGCCGTACCGCAGCACCGCCCGAGCCCGCACTGCACCTCCACACACGCGAAGGTGTCGCTTAGTCTCCCGCGGCGCGGCGCCATACAATAACACGCCACAGGAGGTGGCAGCGGCCCGCCACACCTGGGCACGGCGGGGGCGGGGGCGGGGGCGGCCGGCACAGGGTCGATACCCGACTGCCGGCGGCCGTCTGACCCGTCCGGCCGACGGAGGTCACCGGGGGCACGTGACCCATCGGCCCCCTCTCCGGCGGGAGGGAGGAGGCAGATACCGACCGGTCAACTGGACTCTATCGTGCCGATAACAGACAGTAATGGCTCGACCGTACGACCCACAATGAGCGGTAGCGGACGCAAACAGCTGGCCATATCACACGGGTATTATGGATCATCGCATTGGCAACAATGAGCATCATCAATGCACGGAGATACTCAGCTATAACTTCGCGGATTGTAGCCGTTCGTGGAACCCAACAACAAATAGCCACTCACCTTCAAAGCGGATCAATCCTGGCCCGGAGACCGGCCAAACTGCTGGTAACTCCAATTCGTCAATATTGTCACAGGCGCCAAATGCGTCGCGATTCGGCCACCACTGCGCCACAGTGGGTCTTGTGGCACACAAAGCGCTGAGATGTTGCCGCGGCTGGCGGCAGTCAGCTGGCTGTCCGTGCCGCCGCCGCCGCTCCGGCGTCAATATCGATCGCGGCCGCCGCCCGCCGTCCGCCGCGGTCGACACACACGTCCCGTCTGCGGCGGCGGCGGCGGCGCCTCAGACACCTGAGGACGGCTGCGGCTTGGGGCGCCGCGCGGCGAGCACAGAGCCGGAGCCGGCCGGCGGGGATTGGCTCGGTTTCCGGCCAGGTGAGGCTAACGCCGACACCGTGACGCGGGTAGCCGAGCCGCGACTGCCGGCTGGCCACGAGAGGTCACGGTAGAGACATCTGGTGGCGGATTTTTCAAACAGAAGTACCGGCAGCCTCCACAAACTCTAAGACAGTCCATCGACGAGGCAGGTTCAGGAACACAAGGCTTTACCTTTTCCCAATAATCAGCGACGGATAGAATGATTCAGTCGTGTTTTCCTCTATTAAAGTGTGTGTTGCACATTCCTTTATGCAGCAAGCTGAAATTTAATCCATTCAGTGGAACAACAGAGTTGTTAATCTCTAAGTAGTAAGTGGGTTTTAACAATGTGTTACACTCCAAACATCTCAAGTGACGTTGTCTGGATGCATTATTTTTTACCCTTGGTCTCTGTCTGCATTCCAAAACTCATCCACGCCGCCACGGGATAAAACAATTGTCGTACGGGCCCCGAGCCCTTTTGTCCGATCGACCGATCGGACTGTTCCGACTTCCGAGTAGCTGAGCAGTGAGCAAGTCCAATGTCTGCGTATAGCAAATCCAACAAAGCCGAACACGGCCTGTCCCATCCAAATCAGCTGACTACACCTGTTTGTGGCTTCTTCAACCAACTGCAGACCATTCCCGGAGGAGTCTCATGTATCGAGCGCCAGAGCGACTCGCACTCGGGCTCTTATCACCGGTAGGCTCTAAACTTCAGCGCTTGGAAGTTACAATGTGTACCTACTCCCAGTTTCATCTCAAGGCTAGGGCTGAGTGCTTAAAGGGACCCTCCCACCATGGATGATATAACACTGGATTGGTGTCTCGTGGAAATTAACATTGGGATCCGCGACATTGGGATCAGGCCTGCCATCTAGCGAGAGAATTATCGTAAGTAAGGAGCAAGCCGAGTGAACGCCATCTCTCAGCATTATGACACACGTGGGTGTGGTGTGTTAGTTGGCTTGAAGTGCATATTCCCACGAGTTGGAGGTAATCTTACTGGACCTGAGACGACAAAAAATGTCTTAAATGCTTGTAAGCCAAAAACGTCAAGCAGCCTTTAGGTAATAACGAAAATAAAATGCGTAAGACGGTGTGTATTGAAGCGCCCAGTCCCATCGGCTTGTACGACCTTTTATATTGTCATTTACTCACAATGGTACAGCAGTTTGACAATATGTCACTTACATATTTGGTAGGCTTATTCCTTCTTCTCCGAATTTCGCCCTATTTTCTTCATCTTAGTTACTGTTACGGCACGTGCCACGTGCCAACTTAGGGGTGTCGAAATTGTTCCACATAAAGTAACTCCGCAATGGCTGGGCCAATTACAGTAAAACTTCGTCAATAGTTAGGCATCCAGTGGCCAATGCATTTCCATGTGCCACTATGGGGGTGCTACTGCACGTGCGCACGTGGGGGGGGGGGTGCCGCTTCCATATCTCAAGAACGGCTGGGCGGATAACACTCAAACTTGGTACACAAATGTCACATCGATGCTCGCACTGCATTGATCAGTGCTTACATTGGTGCAGAGTCGTTAGGAAAACGATGAAATGAGATGCGTGGTGTGCAGCTGATTGATTCGCAACAGGAGATTCTTGTTTGTGAAGGCTTCGTCTCTCTTTCCACCCCTTGTTTAAAATAACATTAACAAGGTACGAAGAAGATCACACATCAAAGTTGTTTTAGGCGGCTATCTTGGGCCAGGGCTGCGAAGTTGTAGTCAGAGCCAGCGGTTCTGTTCCGACTCGGAGTCGGTTAATTTTTAAAAGCTGTAGTCGGAGATGAGTCGAACGTCACCGAAAAGTCATCGACTCCACAGACTTACCAGGGCTGCAGACTTGCAGAGTCGGAGTCAGAGTCGGAGTCTGTGTGAATCGGCAGTTCTGCCCGGAGGAATCGGAGTCGATATTTGGATACCGGAATCGGAGTTGGAGCCAAAGTCACTGAAATTTCATCGACTACGCAGCACTGGTTGGGTCCTTTTCATATAGCGTCTGGAATGACATATTGAACGGCAACGACGTTAGCAATTCCGTTTAGGGGAAAGTGGGTGTATTGCGCCCTCCTAACCAATTGCGCCCACCAACATTCCCACGGATTCAATGGCATGTTTTGAATTTTGTGTTCGAAAACATTATTTTTCCCACTGGATAGTTCCTTTTATTGCCCAAGCTCCTCGATGAAGCCAATCAGCAAGGCTCATTACGCCATCAAACATGTTACGGCGTTTTCTTAGCTTTTTTGCAGTATTTTGAACCGTTGGCTATAAAAATGTGTGATATTTGTGTGATTTTCAGAGTGATATTTAGAATGAAGAACCCTTTTTTCATTATATTTCACTAAAACAGTTTAACTTCCTTCAACATCTTTATGATAACTTCCACGCTTTTATTAAAAAGTACCTCAATTTTAATTGCGCCCATGGCAATTGCGCCAGGGGGGCGCAAATAGAATAATGGTGTAGCTATTGTATCACGACAGCATGAATGCATCATTAACTGATTGCAATAAAGAAGGAGTTTAATGTCAGGCAGGGGAGCAGCCCGCTGTCGTCAGTCTGCAAATTATTTCTCTCGTCAAACTTATAATGCAGCTGCCATTTAGGCTACGAACTTTTGGTGTAATTGACAAAATACGACATTTTCAACATAGACTCAGGCGTGGGAGGTGACAGCTATGATAAAAAAGTAAAAACTGATGTCATAAAGCTGTCGAAACAATAAAAATTATTAATTTTGAGAGAAACGATTGAAAATGTAACCGTATAGGCGCATACGTTCACATATATCTAGTCGGTTACAGTAAACGTTTTCGTTGCACTTTTACAAGCGTACGAACACATGTAAAGTTATCTACCTGGGCAAAAAACATCGCGATTTACACCTACATTTATTATTTAACCAGCGTGAATAACATTATGAATGTTAAAGTAAGCCGCAATGAGATTAGACTGCCGGGGTGTATGCATTCCGTCTCATTCGCTTAGCCATGTTAAAGTATAGGGCGCAATTGGGTTCTAATTGCGCCATCCCCCTGGCGCAATTTACAGCAGTTGCTGGCAAATGCGCCCTTTTACATGTTTCTGAAAAAGCAGCTGTCAGAAGCAAACGAAACATTCTTAATTGATCGGGAGGCTCTTAAATCGCAGCCAATGAGTTCCTCTTTGAAATGGTCACCAATGCATGCTTATATCTCCAGCGGTTTTCTCACAATTAGCGTTTTTCCTTAAGGTGGCGCAATTCACCCTCCTTCCCCTAAGTTTTTCATTAGACTTATAGATAATTACTTACGCTCGCTTTGTTCTTTGATCGGACAATTTGTTTGATTTAGGCCAAGTAAGGACTCATGTGAAAAATAGCGAAAACGACACGTGCTGGCGAAGTCTCCAATAACTCCCTGTTTCACGATTTAATGAGGAAATAACATGGAACTGCTCATCTTATTACTGACCCTGCACATAAATCTATTAATTTCTTCGCTTTTACAGACATACAAAGACATAACCTTTTGAAAAATTGCACAACAAGCCTGCTACTACACCACACTCCCGTGTGTCACAATGCTAATCAGCGGCGTTCACTCGGCTTCCTCCTAACTTACGATAATTCTCCCGCTAGATGGCAGGCCTGAGCTCAATGTCGCCAAAAACTGCGAAGACACCAATCCATTATTATCTCATCCATGCTCCCACCTTAACATTAGATTTGAGTTGAGATAGCCAAATTGGTGGCCATGGCCTGAAAATACCGGTTTGGGCACTCACAACATCGAAAAATGCTTTAATTCGGAGATATCGAATTTCAAACTTGCAGTTTTCGGATTCTAAGGGGCTAATGCATTGGTATGCCCCCTTAGAATTTGTGACGTCAGCGGAGATCTAACGATTTTAAATCTTTTACTAAAACGTTTGGTAGCACGCGGTGGTATATGCTGCTTTGCGCGCAACAAATGCCGCACTTTCAAATAAAGTCGCTAGGAACAGCGGAGATCCCGAAAAGTAAACAAAAGTAAAAGTCTAATATCTTGAAAACCGGTGAATATTTTTCGATGAAATTAGGTAGATATTCGTTTTTGCCCTTTCTGAACCGAGCGACATCACTTTGATGCCAATTCGTTAACTTTTTTGAAGGTGGGAGGGTCCCTTTAACTGAGCTAAACCTTTGACATCCCTGTCAATGTGGCAGGGGACAAAATATGGGAGTTTCTTACACATCTTTATAAAATACCTATGGTCACTCAAATTAACTAGTGGGGGGGGGGGGGAGGAGTAAAGATAACCTTAGTAGTGGCAAAGGTGAAAAATCCGGTATTTATTTACTTTAGGACCGGCAGCCATTACTTTCGTCGCGAACCCCAAGTGATAGTAAGAAGCATATCGCATGACATAATTTGACCTTTTGATTTCATAGCTGATAGTCATTCATGGCACAAACAAGTTAAAATGCACCAATACAATATTTACCGTCACCGCCGTAGATCCCACCGACTGCGTACTCCACCGGCCACGCACTGCGCTCCAAGGTTTAGTGAATACATATTAACGATGCTATTCAACTGTGAGGAAAGTGACGTCATGAAATTTCTCGTCGCGAAGCAGCGGCAGTGCCGAAGGCAATGCCTTAGGAGAGATTACAGGCAATGGTAGGTCAAATATTTTTAGGTTAAGTGGTTGTGTATTTGGCTTCAGGCCGAAGGCCTGAAGCCTAATGCACAATCACTTAACCTAAAAATATTTGACCTACCATTGCTTGCAATCTATTCATGCGAGCAACTTTTTCCTTATCCCCGGGTAGGCAAATATCAGTAGGTCAGGTTAGGTAAGGTTAGGTTATGTTCTGATAATTTTTTCCGTGTTTAATTTGCTATCCTATCCCATATCACCCAATTTTTAACCATTTAAATTTCGCCAATATGTATTTTTTTGGTATTATGACGTCATTTTCATTGAATTAAACATGCACATATTTTTCCTTTTCGCAAATGGCAATGGCGCAAACACGTTGTTTATATCGTAATCGCCGCATTCGTATAATTTTGTCGGTGTATG